TATTTAACATCTATCATGAAACTCTAAAGACTTTTTAGTATAATCGAACAATAGTATGTTATAATAGTAATGAGATCAAGGTTTCAATTATAATAATAGTGGTAATATTAATAAAAAACTCTAGGAAGAGAAACCGAAGCACAATGATATCAACATATTATTTATCATTCTTGTAGAGGTGTTTGAGAGTATTCAATAAGGTACTAGCTTCAGGTCTTCTTTTTGGTTCATGATCAAAACAAGCACTCAAAATTTCTCGGAGTGCTGATGGAACCTTGATAAATCAGGTTTTTTTTCGTTTCAATATTTCATTTTTCAAATTCTCTAAACCAGGTTTCGATAACGTCCATGTCCATGTTTCTGTGAATATTTCGACAATACAACATCCTAACGCCCACACATCTGGATGGGTTGTCCCTGGTCATAAAATATTAAAATTTCAGGAGCCATATATAGTGGTGTTCCGTGGAAATTGTTGCCAACGGTGGTATCTAGCACAGACGGTGCATCACTAATTTTGCTCAATCCCAAATCACAGATTTTTATGGAACACTCTTTGTTGATTAAAATGTTTTCTAGTTTGATGTCCTAATGTATTACTTTAGGTTGCATTTCATGTAAGTATGCGATTGCCTTAGTTATTTGTAAACTAATATAATATTTTTTTAACTCATTAATGTTGTAACCAAATCTAATTTAAAATTAAAAATTACATTTTCAGGCTGGAACTTTCAAAATATTCCATAACAATATACGAATAAAAATCCGTCCGGCTTACAGCCATTATAGAAATTATGTTTGGGTGTCTCACTTTGTCCAAAGCATAAATTTCTCTTAATATATACTTATCATTATTCGACGATTTTATACTTTTAATAGCAACCTCGGTGCCAAGCCATGTACCTAATGTAACACACCCAAATGCGCCACGACCCAATATTTTATCTGAAAATTTTATATCATATTTATTGATGTTTGGTATAGATAGACCCTTATTTTTGAAACAATTTTTTTCAGATATTTCAAGATCATTATCAGGATTTAATGTAGTTGTAGTTTTCTTTGTTATTTGAGATTGAATGTTTGAATTGATTTGATCGTTATTTGAATCATTAACGTTAATGGCTGATACTTTTTCTCTATTTTTTACTGTGAATTTGGCTTTTGAATCTGAGCTGATACTATTATCATTGTTCAATTTATTGCTAACATTGTTAGATGATAGGCGAGGTAGTCCTAGAGCTGGTAAAGAATCTATACTTATATCAGACCTTTTTTTTGTACCTCTTGATATTGATGTGGTTAATAGATATACTCTCAATTGTGAATTGCATGACTTGAATTTATGACTAATTTCCCAAAAATTTTTACCACTGGCATAGTTAAATTCTCGATGGACTTCTTCATTATAAGTTCCTAGCTCTATAAACGAGTCTTCTAAAATAGCATGGTTATATTTGGTTTTTATTGCATTTAGTGAAAACTCTTTAATATCTTAATAAGAATAATCAATGTTGCAATCTAATTGAATCGTTTTAATCCCTCCATATGGATCTCGCATTAATTTGTATCTTGCCTGTTCGTGATCTCGGTGTTTCCACCCTATCAGCACCTTTTTCTTCGAAGTCTTTTTCTTCAAAATCTAAAAAAAAATGATGTAAGCCATCTTTATAAAAACATTACTTGAAGTAAAATTGTATTATACTTACTTTGGCTTGGTCAATGTGTTTTGATGATGAACTTAGACTTTCCTTTCCCTCAATCACTGCGAGAATTTCGTCAATTTTGCGTTTTTTCGCGGGGCTTTTACTTTTATTTCCTTCTAGAAGTTAAAGAACGTAGCATACATTATTAAAAATTACACAAATACAATCATCAATGAATAAATATAAATATTTGTTATAAAAATGATAAACGATACTAAACCTCGTAAGATATTCTGGTAGAAAACGTCATAGATGGTAATCCCTGACATCAATTCTAAATCCTCATTTTGTATTTCCAGGCCACATTACCGTCAATTATACAAGTAAGACCGCTTGCACCCGGAAAATAAGTTTTTAATGTTTGCAATTTTAATTTGTTGTTTTTTGTCGGTAAATTGACTGTTGACTCTGCATCTTTTACAGTTATGAAATTCATTTTGTCAACTGTTGAAGAATTCTGGAATGAATTCATCAATAATTTCAAAATTAAACTAAGTTAAAATGTTTAAAATGAGAAAAAAATCTAATTAATGTACTTTTCAGATTTTATGATTAATTATTATTAATAAACTTACCGGTTAGCGTTTTATGGTGGACATAAATATTTACGCAGTCAAGCTTGCTGAAGAACGGATTCTCCCACTTCCTTAAATATCATGGCAGAATATCATTCTTTGGCTGGCCTAGTGTATGAGAATTCCACTTGTAACATGTGGCTTGAGTTTCCACTTCCCATGAACCGCATTCATTAAGATAGACTGATGAATTAAAGGCACGTCTATAGTTAAAAATGTTCAAGATAATTCATTAGAATATTTTGTCAATTTCCTAGAATTATTTAATAGGCATTCAATAAATTATTAATTATTATTAAAGATTCTACAATCAATAATTTATCGCTGAGCGCTAAATTACGAGTTAGACTTTTAATAGGCCAAGTCTAAGTGCAGCAGCTCCACGTATTTAAAAGTACAACAGTAATTGTTGTAATTATTATAAGATTACTTTTCATCTGTTTATTAATTACTGAATATTTAATCATTAAGTTACTTCATCAGTAATGCTCACTAATTTAAATTTACCAATATCAATGGGTATAACAGTAACTTTTTCATTATCAATATGATTATTTATATTTTGAAATTTTAAATTTAATAGAACAAAATTTTAGCATGAGTACTCCATTTACTCAATTCAAGTATATAATATACTTGCAGTAAAGAATTGATATACTTGATTCAAGTAACAAGTATTTTCTTATTAATAAAAAAGAATTCATAATATGAGAAAATGGTTTTTGAAGTGTAAAACAGCATCATACTTAGCATAAGTACGCTTTATACGGGATCTCCGTATAAAATACATTTGTAGAAAGTAAGGAAGATCGTCAGTGTAAGAAAACTATATTATCAACTGAAGTAAACTTGTAATCTTCTTTTATTATCTACCTACTTGAGATAAACAAAATATTTACAAAAATGCAGTAATCGCTATTTTTGGTATAAATTAATATTATATTAGGATTGAGTAATGAAAATTTGCAGTCAAGTTAATGTTATTATGATTGTACAGTACACTTTAAACTTCATTTTGATATGAAATGTACTTGCATCAAATAATAATTATACTCAAATTGAGTATATTCTGTGTTTGCCGCTAGTATCCTTTCTAGCTATCACATTTTTTCTGTCATTGTAGTTACAGTAGAAATTACAAGGGTACCATGGTAAAATTTATTTGATTTGAATGTATTATTCATTTGTATTCATTTTTACCATGTTACATAGTAATTTTAGACAAAAAGTAAAATAAAATATATAAGATGCTTTGTAAATATTTTAATTTATAAAGTACAATTATTTTTAAAACATGATAAAATTATTTTAATACTTTTTAATATACATTCGATAAAAATTACTATGGGTTATGGTCAAAATTAGTACACATAATGTATAAATTAATACATCCTATGATAATTTCTGAAGAAAATTCAGCCTGTTCCTTGTTTACTATGCACCCATAGTAATTTTTATTTTAACTCTCTCTCCGTGTAGTTATTGACAATTTTAACAAATTTTTGAATAAAGATATTAAAAAACAATATATTTCAAAAATTCTTTTTATATTCATTATTCATTCATATAGTGATTACTTTATTTTCTATTTATCGAAAAGGATCAACAAGTAATGAAGTAATCAAAGAAATGTCATGATGTAAAATTAAAATAAATTATAATCATCATAATGATAAGTTTTTGATTTACGCTATACACATAGAAACAATTTTTCTATTAATTATTTAATAAATAAAAAATCATACGTGTCATTTTTTTTACCTATTGAAACTTTCAACTTTTTCACTTTAATGTATTGTTTAACTTATATTACAAATTAGTAAAATATGTTTTATTACTTCGCATATTTTCATACATCTAGATCAGCTAATTTAATCATCATGTCAAGCATTATTCGTTAATAAACCATAATAGAATGTAATTTTGATGATAGAAAAAAACACGTCAATAAATTCATTTTAACTTCAATTAATTGAGTGCCAGTTAACAATTTCTTCCATAATAATATATAATTTTTTTCTACATAATAATGTATCAAAAAATTAACGAAAAATATAAAATCTAAATGAATTACAGCATTAAAGATTATAATTTTTTATGCATCTGCTTCCTTTTTCAATTAGTTTAAATTTTTCATAGTACAGTTTGTATCGATGATACCACTTAATTTAGCAGATACTACAAGGAAGGCCGATGCCTTTAATCCTGTAAATAGTGATATTATCTTTTTATTCAAAACTAGTCTTATGAAATTTTTTCTCATTATTCAGATTCAAAATAAAATAAAATTAAGAAAAATTGATTTCTTTCCTTCAGACTATTAGATGTTCACTTCAAATCAATGATTATAGGGCTTATTGAAAATCAATTTCATTGAATATTGCCTCATCCTGAAGATAATTTAAATTTATCACTGTAAATAAAAAAATGTTTATCTATAAAAATATATTTCAAAAAATTTGATATTTTTTACAAATAATTAAGATTTGTACAATTATTGAATAGAATAAACTCATATTAATGAATTTATTATAGTCACCTGCATATTGATTTTCGTATGGTATAACTAATTCTACCGAATTCATATTATCTTTATCAGAGTGTAGAAATGCCGTCAAGTTATAACTAGCACATGCTAGAAACTGTTCCACATTTAATCTATTCAAATTATATAAATTCCATATTCTGTAATTTTTTCATTTTGTCGACTGTTGACATTACGAGTATTACGCGTTACACGGTGTCCCCTTAATAATGATCTATATTCTAACAAAGCACTTTCAGCCATCTTTTTAAATGATCTAAAATTATACAGAATAATTATAATAAGTAATATGTAAAATAAACAAATTTTTTAAACCTTATAAGTACTTTAAAGTTAATAAATCATTAATATTTTCAAAAAAATTAAAAATGCTATATTATACCAGTGAATTTCCAAATAGATGGATGACGTACAAATCTTTTATTTAATATTCGATAATGGGATTCACAAAAGTTATTTGTTCTGTTATTTGCACCATAGACGCTAAAATTTTCAGGACGGGTCCGTTGTATCCATTGCCGTCTATAATATGTTATAAATTTGTCTATCATCGGTTTCATAATATTTGGGATGTTAGTTATAAGCCAATTGAAAGCGTCTTCAATATCTTCAGCTGGGAGCAATGCTAATGACAAGAACTTTTTTATCAATATTTTACCCAATCTCCATCGTCTGAATATACGAAGTAATCTCAATTTTCCAAATGCCTTTACTATAGCCTATATTAATCACAATAACAATATACTAATGAAAAACCAACATATTAACATATTTTAATTTTTGATCTAATTGTTCAATTTTTATTTGTTACTTGACAATAATGGAAATAACAATGTCGATGCAAGGCATTTGGGTATACATATATAACGTACAGCCTGAGAAACAGCCACTTCGAAGTCTGACATGATAATTAAAGGATTCATTTGAGGTGCCATAACTGATGAGAAATAGTTTAGAGCAGTAAAATAAGCTGACAATGTCTTCTTTTCCATTAGACACCAAAAAATTGGAATTACCTAACAACAAAAAAATTCTTCTGATTCATATATGTCTATATATAGTATACGTACTTTATGTTTTTACAATGTTTAAATAACTTTTGTTATACTAATCTAAATATTAATACAAGGTATCAGTTAATCATCTCTATTGTCTAAAAGTAAAGAGTGAAAATCACAGTGGAATAGGGCTTTTTTATTGTTTTCCGGTTATAAAAGTATCACTGCTAGAATCAGTGCTACTAATATAACTGAAAATGTAGAGAAAAAAAATTCTAAGAAATGTGATTAAGGCTTTGTGAATAAAATAATCAAAACTTGATATGCAAAATAAAATATATAAGAGAATATATTTAAAATTTAAAAAATACTCACTTACTGTGTCTTGAATTAAGGCCATAATTGTTAGTAGCTGGAGAACTTTTGGGTTACTTGGTACTACTTTGAATGTTGCGTCTATGAATAACTCAATCACATTACTCATTAATGTTAACATTTCTATATTGCCGTACACTGTTACATATGATCCATCTTGAGCTCTCAATGTTGCTACATGTAAACTACCATCTACATTTTGAAATTCTGTGTAGAATGACCATCTTGGTTCACGCAAAATATTCAAATATTGTCGAAGCGAACGAGGATTTTTTGGCAGTGTTTGCTTCTTCCACATGCGCATTCGTAGTTCCATTGATGCCCAACTTCTTTGAATCGCACTGGAAGGATGTCTGTAAATTAATTATGCATTAGATACGGAAAAAAACCCAACATAAGAGCAAATATAATTCCTAGATAATTAGTGGTTTTATGCTTTCATTGTAAATTAGTATTATAAAATTACTTCTCATTATTCAGAATATTAAAATAAATGATATAACTATGAAAAAATAAGTTATTGAATAATAATTTAATGATTTCAAAATCAATAGTAAAATGAAGAATAATTAATTTTTTTTCCTTTGTTTTTTTCTAATGTTTTTTCTAATGTACACCATATACGATTGTTCCCAACATGTTTAACATTTACACTTGTTATAATACTTACAATGCACTAATATCGTCATAGATTTCTCTCAGAGATTTATAATGATGCTTGCTGACTTCATCAAACAACATTTTCTCAAAATTGTAACGAGATTCTAAATGTGGATGAGGAGGATGATTATGGTTCTTTATGATTTGAAATTGTCCACCTACAATTTTTCCTGAACCTCTGCAATTACTTTTGCGTTTTTGCTGACACGCTACATAACTGGAAATAAATACAATTAACAATTGATATATGATTATAGTCATAATTCTTCTGTGAATATTGCTAATACGAATAATATCTTTAAATATAATTGATTTAATGTTATGTAATCTTCTGTTTAAATTGAAACCATAGAATTTTTAATATTATTTAAATTATTAGATACATTTATTACTTAATTTATGTACTTGATTATTAGCTGAATTCATTATTAAAATTATTGAAAATCAGTAAAATAATTAAAAAGTAAAACAATAATGTATTATTTTCTTTAATTTGTATAGAACTCAATCATGTTTAATAACCATTGCTTTTGTTAATGATCTACATATATTACTATTTTTTTTTCTGTACATTTCCATAACTTTTAGTATACACATAATTATAACCATCAAAAAATCTTATGTTCAACTTCTGATGCTTACATGCTTCAATACCAAAATGAAATGTTACACTTGCCATATTTGGTTTTAATTTTTATTTCAGAATCGCTAGCAACCAAAATTGTTCATAAAAATTTCAATTTATACCATATCATTGTACTCTGTGTTTTTTAAACTATAATATTTTTAAAACTATCTCACATTTATTAATATTTCCATTATAACACTGCATTATCTTGCTATGAAATTTACTACATCTATATTGCATAAGAAGCACAGTCCAACTAAACAAAGAAGTCCTGCCACCACTCCGTTTGATTTGTGGTAGGGACACATAACTTGAACCATACTTGTAAGAATGAGGAGACACGGTTAGAATAATATTCGTCGTTTATTTTCAATATTTCGCGTAAATTGAAGGAAATGTTTTATATACGCTTTCAATTGATGATCTTCTTATTATACTCAAAAGTTTATCATACAATATTATTAATTTTACTCTCTATTTACAATTGTGGTTTTATATTTTTTCATGATTGACAGAAACTGTAACTCTCATGACTTAAATTATTTTTTTTTCAAGTTAGCGTTTCGGTAAGTGATTTTATTTTAAAGTAATTAATTATAACTAACGTCACCATTTGTTACTGACGTAGGTTTTCTACATTGATATTTGTTTTAAATAACCCAGGATAAAATAATCAGTCTCTGAGAGTCGCTCTGAATCTCTCGCAGTCTTTTTAACAGTCTTTCGTAATCTTTTGCAGTCTCGTGAACTTTTTGGAGATGATTTTTTATCTCTCGCAATCTCTCAACAGGAGACTCTTTTCTCTCATTAAGAGACTCGAAACACTCATAGAAGGTTAGCAGTCTCTCTATAAAAGATAATAGTCTCTCCTCAAGAAACTGCTGTTTATTACTTAGAAACCAAGGCTTAGAAAACTATTCTTCCAATTTTTATCTCCCACAGACAGACTGTAGTCTTTAACACAAAGACTGGAACTTAGAAAAATTTCATAAGTTTCTTATTGTGTTAGTGTATAATTACTCAAATATAATGTATGCTTTTTAAAAATAATACTTTCATTTTTCATTGAAAAATATAAACAACAGTGAAGCGAGGAAACAATCAAATTATATATAGTGAAATTTTATAATTATAGTTTTTATTCGACTTCAATCATATTTACAGGTTCTATAATGTATTTTTCACCATTGATTCCAATATCAACATGGACACAAACACAAATAAGATCTGTTACATCTACAGCTAAGGTTTTTTGAGTATCATTACATTCATACACATAAGTAAAGTCAATGTCATCCATAGGACGAAAAACTGGATTTACATTACAAACATAAACAATAACATAGCATTTTGAGTTACAACTATTCGTACAGCTTACAATTTCACACGAACAATCCAATGTTCTCACAAAACAATAAATTTTTCCAAAATATGTCTGTCTATTATAAGTAAATTTTACGTATGTAGAATTTGTCTTTTTCAATCGGCCATATAATGTAGATGTATATAATATACCACTTTTTATCAATCTTAAGAATATTTCAATATCAGTATAAGATATATTTTGTTCCCGCATGGTTGGATTAATTATTTGGGCTTCGGAACCAATTTTTTTTGCCACACCGACTGCATATATTCTACCAGAAACATGTTCCAATCTATACTTTGCTTTTTTTTTACTTAAATACTTACAAAACTCATAGACTGGTGTATTTCGAGTAAGAATTTTATTTTTTAAGTTAGGCAGGTTCATAAACGTTGAAATTCCTAATAATTTTTCTGCCGTATTAACTTGTTCACTCGAAATACTTTTCTGATTAAGAAAGTAAATAGCATGAACTAATAATTTGTAATTTTCAAAATAGATTTCGTCCATAATTGAATGCAAAATCGGTAAGGAATAGTAGAAAAACCATGTCTTCAATTCTGAAGCTTTAAAATATGGCAAATGATCGGAAATTGATCTTGGCAATCGTATAATAAAATCTGGTGGTGTAATACAATATAAATTTCTATTAACAGTTGCTATATGTTCATGCAAAGACCAGTTTTCATTCGAAAAACTGGATTGGAACCACAAAACTAATAAACTTTTAACTACACCTAAATATGTGCAATGCATGACATCAACTGCTGTATGGCAAATGTATTCTGGTACAAATGGAGGTAAGGCACTAGGTCCTTTTACACCATATATGTCGAAATTATCGAACTCCGCAGCTTGTATTGCAAATTCATTCGTTTCCTCTTGAGTTCTCAATGGTAAGTTAACGAGGTATGGATATATTCTGACATTACTTCTTGGTTCAGCAGGTTCAGTTTTTATTTGCATTTTTGACAACCATATAAACCATTAAATTATTTCATATTTAGCATTAATGCTTTAGCAGGAAGATCACAAGTTCCACATATAACCTTTACTTGAAGTCTAATACGTTTTGGCATGGAGTTTGGTGCATTAGGATTTGGTACATTTATATCAATGCCATCTTTAAGTTCAACTAATTCATCTGATATTGAACTTAAAAATAAAGGTGGTAAAGGTTTTCTGTGACCAAACCACAACCCAGCCAATAATAAATTACCTTTTCTAAACCTTTCAGAATATGGTAATTCATTAATACTCAAGAAAAAGGGCCAGATTTGAAATTTGGAAGATTTAAATAAGGAAACACCATCACAATTCCACGTGAATGATAAGTTATGGTGGCTTGTCGTTATATTCGGAGAATTAAATAGTTCTTGATAAACTTTTCCATCGTATATATCTTCATAGTTTGATTCGACTATTTTACTCCTATTATCACGACATTTCAAGCTGTCGACGAATCCATCACGGTTGTACAATGTTTGAAGTTGATCGGTAATTGACAATTCCATAAAATAACTAATGTCACTGTTGGGTGGACATTCTTCGCATCTCTGATCTTCATTTAGATGGCATAAGCATGATGAGCAATAAAAATGTTTCGCTGGCTTTACAGAATTCATATGTAAAAAATATTTTCGATAATAATACATAGTCTTTAAGCAATAGTTTGGCCGAATACAATGTAATGATATGAGTTTCAAGAGATCTTCAACAGCAATTCCAGTTAAATTATGCCTTAAACAAAATGACAAAATCGCAAGCAAGCTTTCACCTTGAGTAATTGGCGCATTTGCGTATAGCAGTGGATCTTCTTCATCGTCTTCCATATGTATTGACTCAGAGTTTTCCGAATCTGAAAGTATATCTTCATCATAGTCTACGTTTATATCTTCATGAACTGGATCAACAGTATTACGCTCAGGAATAAAATTTTCTTCATAATCAACTGACATTAGATCCAATCCTAATTGCAAAGTTGGAACATTATCTACAAAAAAATACGAAATGATAATGAATGTTATTACATTACTTTATTTTAATTATTATTTCATAATTTTAAACATTTATTGATTTAGTTGATTCATATTTAATATTTAGGTTAATTTGATGAGTTCTGATAATAAGTCAGCCAAATTAAGTTAGATTCTATTAGATGTTATTCTTTATTTTAAACTTTTCAAGTAGACGTAGTTTGTTGTAAAATAAATGGAAATACCTTATTGAATCTACCATTTTACTTTTAATATTTTGGTAAGATCAAGTTGCAACTGATTTGATGTTTCATTTTATAATTTTCTGCTCGATTTATTTAGATCGCATGTATTTATTCAGTCAAATAAAATGAAATAGACCTAATGAACTCTTATTTTTGATTATTGTTACTCTCAAGTTACCCTAAATTGAATATCATGTTATATTTTTTCAATTTTGCTTGATACGTTAATGTTTCAATTTGAAAATTCAGCTAGATTCAATTGAATTTAATGATATATTTAATTAATTTTAATGATTCATAGTATGTAATTGAATCTAATGTTTTTTTGTTTTCAATAAATAGTTTGATCGAATACTTCAATTCCAAAAACTTACCTAGATTAGCAAGTGAAAATATTCAAAAAATGTAATACTTACGTTCCGTTAAATCTTCACTTGAAGAACTCAAACTCATCGTTTCTATATCTTCATTATTAACCGGCGAACTACTGTGAAATTCAATAATGCACACTTAAAATGATATTAAACAAGATGATAAATTGAACATCCCATCATGGAAAATATACGGTGTTGGAAAGGTAAGTAAATTTCGTTCTTCATTTAATAAATGAAATAACAAACAATAAAGAATTAGGTTTCAGAGATAAATAAACGATGAAAGAATTATGACATGTTAAAATTAATTTATCACCAACATTGATTTTTGTTCTAACATTCACAGTTGATATTTTCATCTATTTAACTTAGCACGCCTGGTATTTTTAATCAAGAACTCTTAATATTTTGTTTTCACCGTAATTGTAATCATTGTTATTGACAACAGTAATGATGCGTCCGTTTATAAGTTTTATAAAACTTTTATTATATGCGAAGCCAAGAGA